TCCCGCATGAAAATGTCCTAAGAAATCGTTACGCTACTTTTAAAAATATCAGTTTTTGTGTATCGCTAATGACAAATCGATCACTTCAAAATATACAAAAACCATACAAAAAATGAATTGAACCCTTTCCCCTCTTATTGGTTAAAGACAATGTTAGCTTGGTAGTGAAGTCCTTTCTGACATTGCTATTTGGTTGATTACCTATCGACCGACAAAACATTAACTACAAGGAGAGTATCAACCATATAAAGATGAAATCCTTTCTAGTCTATGGGTACTATGAGCCAAGGACTAATCGAAGTTCAACCGTTTCAGTAGAATCTCGTCTGTTTTTATTTCACAAACAATAGATAGTCCCATTTCAAAGCAGCGGTGTCTGTTTATACCTAGAGTTAAAACGCAAGACCTGCAGAACATCTAGGACACACCCGGTGTTTGAAATTCGACTTTCACTAACGAAATCTCGGAAATGGTAGGAAATACGAAAAATGCGAGGTTTCATCTCTTGTTTCACCAACTTCATTTTCTCTCATGTCATTTTCTCAATATCAGATTTTTGCACAGATGAATAGAATTTTGTTATTATGATCCTAAAGGTTTGTATGTCATACGTTGGCAGTTTCAATTTAGTAATTACAGAAAAAACTTATATTTACGTAATTGTCTTTGAAAATGACAGATTGTCATTTGTTTAATCGATTACATCACCAATTCAGTTCAGTGCAGTTTTTGAGAAGCTCCTTTAAGGGATTCATATAAATTTAAGATGAATATGTATACATTGAGTTGGACATGACAATATGAGAGGTGTTTAGCAATCTGCAACATCATCGGAACATTTACTTACTATGAAATGTTTGTATCGGTTTCTTGAACATTACCGTTTTAAATTTTTCATTAGGACCTTTAAATAATAATATGAAGATGTCAATGTTATCTAGATTATTCGACAAGTTGAGACCAGCATTAGAGATATTACTTTTTCAGAGATAACATCACAGTACCAAAACCGGGAACAGTGACTGTTTATCTATCTCAATTTCATGAAAACTAAAGTAATGCTTGGTTGACGGTATTATGAAACAAATAATTGTCTGATAATTTCAAGGCCTACTTTGGAAGTTTGTATTTTTTTCAATGATCATAGTTTTACAATACTAATGTTTGACATACACATTTTTGAAATCATAATTAAAAGTCGTATTCACCCGTACAAAAGTCTAATATGGCGTCTATAAGAAAAAATAAAATTGATGATTGACAAGAGACGAAATGCCATATTGAAATTCTAATTATGCCTCTTAGTAGTGGAGAAAAAGTCAATAGAAAATAGAAGCCATTTTGGAAAATCTCGGCTTTTTTCTGTCCATCACCGGAAATACTCTAAATTGCTTACATTTCTAAGTGTCATTTTCTTAGTTATCTGCGGACTTACCCTAAGTCCAAAAGGGCAATGACCCAGGGCGTCAGTCTGTAAGTGGCGCCTGAAGCAAACTGAATCAAAAACTTTTGCTTTTTCCGTTTCTTTATGGGATGGCAAACCTTAAAAGCGTCGACTTCATATCCTTTACCACTTTCGAGATCCCAACGGTGAGAGCTGAATTTGATACACCCGGTATAAGTGAGTCCATGGTCTCGCCAGGCTTCCACGATCAATCCCGACTCATTCCTACCGGTCAATTCGACAGCACTTAGGATCTCCAGCATATGGCATAAGATCCTCTTCCTAATTCTAATGCTCTCAGATAATTTAAAGCCAATATCTCAATCATTTTTTAAACTGTTAAGTCGCGTTAGTCATTCGGTACTCAAGACTTTTTGAAACTGCCTATTAAAAGTTTTATGATAATAATTTCTGGGACAAGTTGTGCAATAATGAAATACCGTGATTATCAATGTTGCACAGTTTTAAATATGCATATATATGAGGATATTGCACAAAGAAATTCATAGCCGTGTACAGTATTAGTATACAGTGATTACTCGACCAATTAACATTGAAGAACTGGTTTGTTCAATGATTTGTATGATGTTAAGGTTACCGTGAACAGAATTTCCTTGATTTATGCCCCGAGAAGCGGTTTACGAGGTGCGCCAGAAAACTAGCTGTCCTTATTTTACGAGCCGCAGTTGGCTGCAAGCTGGTAAATTGTCCCTAAGAATAATAGCGAATGAGACACCTTGTTAACTCATTATTCAGATATCAAATCACATGAAGTCGGACTACATGTGCCATCTATTTCATCGTCACTCCGATGATGATGAACCTAGTTACTGCGCTGGGAAGGCAAAGCAGCTTTGCAGAATCGATCATTAATGACACATATGACAAATTATTTTCAAATTATTTCCAGGATCTATTGAGTGGAAAATAAGAATCCAACCTGCATAATTTTTGATATAACCAAACATTTCGTGATATAATTCTAGTCACAAAGGTACCGTCAATCAGTTTCTGTCTCTTTCTGTAATTCGCATATCAAAACAATTGAATCATGGTGATACACTGGGTAATGTACTTCTCACACATCTATTGTTCTCACTGATACGGTAGTTAGTAATCTAAAATTAGTGTTGATTGGTTTTGAATGTGGCAAAGGACTTGGTGCTGGGGTTTTCTGTAAAAAAGCATTTTGATAGATGAACTTGAATATTTGTGGGATTTTCAAACATTATGGTTCGTACTTTATTTGGAAAATCCGGTCTAAATTTTTCCATACTTAGCAATCTAAGACATATTTGCTTACAATTTTTTTAAAGACGTACCTGCATTTAGAATATCTGTTAGTTTGTAGTATAATGTATTTAATTTTATTATAGATCACTTTTTTTGTTAATTCCCAGAAACTTAGAGCTAGGCACATTTTTCTTTACGAAAGTGCTAAAGTGCATCAGCAGTGCGTACTTCTCATTTAAGGAGAGCTTGATTTATTACAAGCTTTTATTTGACTTAACCATTTTGAATATACGAGGCATGCAAATTAACTGATGGGATTGGCAGTGTAGCGTTCGATCTTTCGATCTAACAACACTGGAAGCGAAATAGGGGAACATGTGATTCGCGTTCAGTACACGTTTGAACTCGCTCGAGTCATTTTTTCTATTGTGTTCTAAAAATGAGTAAAATCAATGTAAAGCAACGGTGTGATATCAGGTTTTGCTTCCGACTCGGGCACAGTGCAACGGAAACTCTTGCTAAGCAAGCCTACGGAGATAGTGTTTTGTCAATAGCCCAGGTATTCTGACGGTAGGTATTTTCAAAAGAGATAGAGTCGATTGAATATGAACCACGAAACGGAAGGCTTTCATCTTCATGAAGCGATGAAAGTATCGACAGAATCCGGAAGATTGTTCGTTCAGATCGTCGGTTGACAGTACGAGTGATCAGGGAAGAGTTAAATTTGACTCACACTACCGTCTATCAGGACAAAAACAACTGGATGTTGCATCACGATAATGCTCTTTGTCACATAGCAATGTCAATATGCTAATTTTCAGCCAGTAACTCATTTCTCAGGCTGCGCAGTCTCATTATTCGCATGATTTGAGTCCTTGTGACTTTTTTCTCTTCTCGAGCTTGAAAAATCACCTCATTTTGGGACAGTCGAAAACATTCTAACGGCTGTAACCGATCAGCTAAATGCTATACGAGTATCGTGAAGTTATTTTGACGATAACAATGTAAACTTGTAATTATATTTGAATAAAAAAATCAGTCTCATTACTTAATTTATAGACCTTCTATGTTGGCATACTCATATATGTTAGTATGTGTGGGACAAGTTTTGGAACTGAATTTTGAACCATGCTACAAAACAGCGATTCATCATCTCGATCATATGGATATTAAATCAAAGGGCTTGATAAGAGAAACAAAATAAGTAGAGCAACTTTATTTCAAATCAATATGGAGGCCACCGCAAAATGGCGATAACCTACTATTTTTTGAAGACATCCCTATCATATGGGTATCAAATGAAAGCGGTTGATGAGAGAAATGCAATAAGCACCGTGGCGTCATTTTAAATCCAATGTGATGGCCACTGTAAAATGACGATTCTTAATTTCCACAGTCACCCCATAGTGTACCAAATGAAATGAAATGAATTGATGAGGGAAGCATAGTAAATGAAGTAACGTCATCCTTAATACAATACGGAGGCCATGGCAATTTATAATTTCCATGGTCACCGCTATGATATGGGTATCAAATAGAAGGGTAGTAATGAGAGAAATACAATGAGCAACTATTCTCATTCCATATGGTAATAACCGCAGAATATCGATAGATCATTATATGATTCATATGTATCGGAATGTTTTAATACAAATAAAGTAAGTAGTTTTATGGAGTACTATTAATGAAGTATATGAGAATTATATAGAAATTACCAAATTAGTTTTTGGCATCATAGATACTAGAAAGTAAAAAATAAATAATATAAAAAAGTACATATTCGAAAGCAAGATTTTATTTAGCTGTTAAATAAAGTGAATTAAAAATATTCTTTCCAAGCTTCTTCATGTGAAGTTGTCAAATGAAACCGAGCTACAGACCCTTTTGACATTCTACTATCAAAACGTAACAAGCTATTATTTAAAATCTTGAGGTATACGACCTTTTTATTATTTGAATATTTCCAATTAGATAACGTTATCTTTAAATTTTTAGTGGACTTTGCTAACAGCTGAATAAAAGCTTATTTTATTTCATTTCATTTATTCAAACAATTCATGGATGATTGGTCCATGGATTTTTAAGAACTGTGGACCTTCTTCGTCAATAAAACTTTAGTGCTTTCCGATTTATATTACCGTAGAGGCAATATAGACAAATTGCAGATCATTGTAATACTGAGCTCTCCCCTCTATAGGCAATAGGAGTATTATTTTAAATTTAAAGTCGACCCATCAAAGTTTGCCGGAGGTGAATTTTGACATCATATTTTTAACGAATTCCTAATATTTGATCTGAACTGAAAAACTCAATTCCGACTAACCTGGGCACAGTAACGAACAACTTATCCTTCCATCTATCAATCCCCAACGGCAAATTATTCTCCCTGATATACTCGCCACTCTTCACAGCCTCATCCATGGCCTCCTTGCTTGGCCATGCAAACTCCATCTCCTTCCATGAAAAAACTTCCTGTGGCTGCACCAGGCAGGACGCGCCGCAAATCAAGGCGGCGGTGACTGTCGCGGCCAGCGCGAACGTCGTTTGTCTCATCTCGCGTGTTGTTTGTTCGAGGTTCGCGGCCGCCCTCGATTCACAATCACACTGGCTCGCTGGACCAACGCCATGGGGATTTCAAGTTCTCCTCCCACTCTATGCCATGAGCAAAGGCGGTTTGCAAAAACGAGAGTGGAAGCAGTGAGGTGTTAACAAATAGGGTTGACATTTGACAGATCACTTTTGATAAAGGATCTTTTGGTTTGGTTGACATGTCCATGTTTGTGCGGACCATGGTGTATCAGTGGCATTCCGAGGTCTAAAAGGCGTTACTTTGGATAAGATATCTGTCAAATACTTTTGCAACTACAAGTACGACCCGCACGGGTAGTACGTATCTTGAAAAGTGACATTACGCCGATTTTGTTTTGACGTTATGTAGGTAAACACCTACAATATGTTAACTTAGCACTAGCTGATAGACACGTGAACTCGTTTTGTAGTTGTACGTGTTGCCTAAACGTCATGAGGCTTCGGTTATCAAGGGTTGGCTGTGATGTGATGTAAAATCTGCTTACTGGAGGTCCACTTACTTGAGATTCAAAGCTAAAAATTAGTTGCGCATCCCCTTTTTCTTGTCCATTCTAGAAATTACATATGCAAATTTGATGAATTTAAAAAATGATAGACATAAGAAATAATTATATTCACTGTACACTGTCGAATTACAAGTCATATAAATGATAACAGTAATCACACACAGCGCGGGCGCGGTGATGATTTCTCGTAATTCTCCTCAAAGTGTTCCGTAATTTATAACTTTGAACATAATCTGTCTTCAGAAAGGTCAACAAACAAATAATTTGTCGGGCATAGCTAATAGATAAATATACTTCAATGGCAGCATACTCAGTAATGATTTTCTCACACAGCAAATATCATTGATTTTATACACAATCAGACCAATACACATAATCATCCAGATGCGATCTTGCTACTCAACCATTTTTGTTATCAGAGATAAAAGCTACAGACCACTCGGCTTCACAAAACATATGTAACCAACAATGCGTTTAGTTTAGTTGAGTTATTCCTCCATAGATGGATGCTCACAACGATCCCAGTGAGCCAACGTGGGATGACTATTTGCACCCTAAAAAATACCTAGTCTGCAAGATGATATTTTATAGGTTTTTTTGACGCTTTATAGGTTTTTTAATACCCGTGCCGCGCTTTTAGACAAGTTGAGTATCACACTTTATATGTATTATATCGATCTCCCTGATGTTGAATCTCCTCCCAGTGATAGAAAAACTTGCACCAAGGCATATACAGGGTGTGTGGAGCGTGAGTAGCCAAACGGAAATGGCGGAGGGCTGAGAGTATTGACTATTTACAACGCCTGATTAATTTACATTTTGCCTCAGTTTTAAGGAAAAATAATGATTTTTTCTTGAGAAAATCCCCAGTTTTTAAATTTAAGTTATAATTTTTTTCTATTTTCGGTCGCAACGGCGCAAAATTGATTTTATTCTCTAAGTCTACTCTTACTCTATTCAGATTCTACCAACATTTGATACAAACAGTTGAAGTACAAGTAACAGTGGAACAACAAACTTTCTAAAAGCAACGGAAACAAAGTAACAAGATAGTCCGATCCCTGGCCTGCAAGATCGCCGAAATTGACTCCGCTTGATTTTTCGTTTGGGGCCGTGCTAAAGCACTAGTGTATTCCGAACCCATTAATACAAGAGAACAATTAATAGAAAAAAATAACGCTTTTGTAATAATGAAACGAGAAATAACACTACAAGATAAATAAGAAAGAGTTTTACAATAAACCGAACAAAAAGAGAACAATAGGTGCAGTTGTGATAGAATGAGTCAGAAGGTTGTACCTGCTCAATTATATAATTGGAATGATTTAGCTGCATCCACTATCACGAATCGTTGAAAATATTATACAGAATAGGAATGGTCAAAGAAATGAAAGACAAATCTTCATTGATCTATGATAGCGCGACACACGAAGTGACAGATGTTTTATGTTTTTTGGGGCAAACTTTAGGATCAACCAGGACAGATTTGTTCAAATATGTGAACTATTCCTGTTCCATTAAAAGAAAACGTTGAAAGTGGTGCTTGATTTGAAACCCAGTGATTCCATTCCAGAACTAACTTGATAGGTTTGTATTGCATGTACGCCTCTGGCGAGAGAAGACTGACCCTGAACTGTAGCGCTGAATAATCTTTCAAGCTCTATGCATATATTACACCTGTTTGACTCCACCTCACATTCATAAAAAAACAATTCTTGCTATTCACTATTCAGACAATAGCGTCTATTCAATATTCCATAAAGAAAATTATTTTGTTATTAACCGCAAACTGAACTGCTAGATGAATAATAATGGAGCTGATATAGCACAAAATTCTAAGACCTACAGAGATAATTTGAAGGTCACGGTTCGCTGCAACAGTATTACTAATATGTGAATTCTTCAGTACAATTGCTGCGTGTTGTCGGTGTTACCAAGAAATCTGATTGTTCACTCTAAAACCTCGTAGGTTTTGCAAAGGTTTCGAAGGGGTGAAGATGGTGTGGCATCTATTTGTACACAGTTCAGACGCCGAGCAGTTATAAGCCCAGATGCGTAGGGGTCTTTCTGTATTTGAGGACGAAATCAGCTTGCGTGCAACGTTTCGAATTTTTCAAAAGACTGTGCCCACTTGTCTGCTTTTCATCTGCCTGTATCCAGGACTAGACCTACACCGCACTGGTGAGTGCTAAAGAGCACGAGACAGCGCTGTCTGCGGTTGGCCATGGTTACAGAGACGGAGAGTAAACATATCCAGTTCAGCCAGAGAGTTAGAGTGTTCTTAGATGGCGCAAGGGTATTCGATACCTATTTTTATTGGGTACTCAATTAGGGAGAAGCTAAAAAAGAATTGAAGATCTAGTACCATCTAGATAATATGAGCACGGCCAAACACTAACATCATTCAAAGCAGTTGTCTAAATTTATTAGTGCGTTTTGTTACTGTCTCACAGAGGGCACTAGCATTCCTCAAATCCCTTTTTGGACCCAGGAATATAGTATACAGGGTGTCGCAGATTCGCTTCTATATATAGGGATCTCGGCTCCTGTCATACATACAGCACATTTTAAATGGGGAAAGTCTTAGAGGAAACTTAGTGCGTTCGATAGCCGGCTTCAGTTTTACGATTGGTCAATTAGTTTTTTAAATATCGGCGAAAAACCGAAAATGTTAAATTTTATTTTTGCCAGTAAATCCGAAAAGGTTAATTTGACAGATGTCAAAATGTGACATTATTCGGTCATTTTTTAAGGCAAATAAGATAGCGTATGACATGTCTCGATTGTCTTTTCCTTTTCCGGGCTCCTGTCATACATACAGCACATTTTAAATGGGGAAAGTCTTAGAGGAAACTTAGTGCGTTCGATAGCCGGCTTCAGTTTTACGATTGGTCAATTAGTTTTTTAAATATCGGCGAAAAACCGAAAATGTTAAATTTTATTTTTGCCAGTAAATCCGAAAAGGTTAATTTGACAGATGTCAAAATGTGACATTATTCGGTCATTTTTTAAGGCAAATAAGATAGCGTATGACATGTCTCGATTGTCTTTTCCTTTTCCGGAACCTGAAACAACTTTCATTTTTCTTATGGTCACCGTATTGGATTTTTCGATTTGAGGATGCCATGACTTATTTGTCAGAAAAGAAAATTAATAAGTAACGGATTTTTTTCATCTATGGTGGCTCTGACTTTGACGATAAATAATTCAAAGTATTTAAATTGTTTTTAAATAAGTAGTAGGTACGTTTTGTCTCATTAAAATCGTATATCTGACAAAAAAATGGTCAAAACCTGTTGAAAATGACACACAGAAACGCCGACATTACCTCAACAAGGTACCCCGAACGACGGCAGCCTCAGAAAATCCTAATTAGAAAATAGTAGCTAATTTAATAAACCATGATGGGGCCTTCGAACAACCTAGAAGCGGATACAATATTGAAAATGAAAATCGCGACAGAAACATTTTACACTACGAAAAACAGTGACCAAGTGTCAAACATGTTTGGATGCAAATGGAAGTTATTTTGCATATCTGCAAATTAATACCCTCTTAAATAATTAGATTTTGCATTACATTACAATTAACACGTTTGTTTGTTCAAGTGTAAAATAAATTAACGCACTCATAGTTGGGAATTTGTCCCAAAACATTTGAATTGTTGAGAAGTCGATATAAACGATAATATTCTATTGAGAATGCAAGGCGTTTATGTGTGTTTTATGCTCGTAAGTGTTCGTAAGTGTTCATTCTTATCATGACTATGATCATACAGGTTTATGCCAGGCTTTAATTAACAAATTGCAGTGTAGCACATATCGGTCACATAAATCAAATTCACGTTTTGTTTCTGTAAGATTCCTTCAATTATGCCTGGATGCATAAATTCCTTCTTAGAAAGATCGTTCACCTCCTTATCCTTCCAAAGTAAACATAGCAATTTACTGAGGAACCAACTCCTCATAAAGTCTGTTATAATGAATCACACCTGAAAATAATGCGATAAGTATATAATATGGATATGCAATGATTTGTTTTGTAACTTACCAACCTCCGTCAAGCTTGGTTGTAAGCTTCTGGACTTTCATACACACAAATATATTATAGTATAATATATTTATGTGCATTAATTCTCCTAACTCAACAATTTCATGAAGATACCACAGGTTGCGGAATTTGTTCAATGTAGCGAGGTATTTTTGAGTGATCGATAATTATTTGCAAGAAAATTATAAATTATGGTTCTGCTGTCATGTGACTTGAACGTCAAAACAACCTCAAGCCAGAACTGTCAGATGTCGGAAATCAAAAGGAGGACATACATGTGCGTTAACGAAGAAGACGTAATATTATCGAAATCAAGAAGGCCATAAACGAGCCCTACAATTGTAGGGACGACTGACGATACGGGCCTTAGTCATTAATGTTATTTTCTGACAAATAAATCATAGCCTCAGAAAAAAGCTAATACATAATATTACGTGTGATGATATTTCGGTGATAGTCCAATCTTTTATGCACTTGTGGGACATCACTAGACTGGAAATTTTACATTCTTTTCAAGACTAAAAAATCCAATATCTCGGCTATAAGAAAAATGAAAGTTGA